CGTACGGTAGCACGATTGTCGTGTCTTTATATCGTTGGACATGACATTCCACTGTACCAATATTCGCGTTTGTTCGAACCCTACTCTTCCTGTGGAGGTACCTATATATATATATATATATATATATATATATATATATATATATATATATATAGTACAGGTACTAAACACTTCAACAACATCAACAACAAAAAACTCTCAATATGATACTGAATAAAAAATCAGTCAAAATAAGCTATTCCTGCACTGATAACATGTAGTGATTTTCTAAGCCCAGATTAGATGAGGCACAAGGCCGAAAGGAAAGTGCACCCAGTGAGGGTCGAAGTCACTCCTCAGTCGTCATTGATTGAGCAAGACAAGCTTTCTAACCATTACACCACGTCAAGGTGTCCTCTGCGCTGACAACATGTACCAAATTATTAATTTCCATAACAATTACATTTTAAGTAAATTCCATGGGATAAAACCTAAATCTAACATGGAAACCCCCTGTAATTGTAGAATTAAGGAAAACTGCCCGTTAGAGAGCAAGTACAGAATTTGTACGAATAAAAAAGCTTCACTGTAAACGGAGTTGACGTATTCTGCTTTCAGATAGCAATACTTGCGTTGCAGGTTAACAAACGCTGAACGCTGAGATTATAGTTGGTACGCCGATCAGCGTAGACACAAGCACAAGTTTCTTTCTTTTCTCATGTTTGTTGTGTCTTTATGTCGTTGGACACGACATTCCACTGTACCAATAATCGCGTTTGTTCGAACCCTACTCTTGCTGTGGTGGTACCTATATATATATATATATATATATATATATATATATATATATATATATATATATAAATATACATCAATCAAAAAAACTCTCAATAAGATACTGAATAGGAACTGAGTCAAAATTAGCTATTCCTGCTCTGATAACATGTAGCGATTTTCTAAGCCCGGCTTAGATGAGGCACAAGGCCAAAAGCATGTTGCACCCAGTGAGGATCGAACTCACTCCTCAGTTGTGATTGATCAAGCAAGACAAGCTTTCCTACCATTACACCACGTCGAGGTGCCCTCTGCACTGATAACATGTACCAAATTATTAATTTCCATAACAATTACATTTTAAGTAAATTCCATGGGATAAAACCTAAATGTAACATGGAAGCCTCCTGTAATTGTAGAATTAAGTAGAGGGCAAGTATACATCCACTAGGCAACCATTACCCCTAAAGAAAATATGACAAACCATAATATTTACATTGGCATTTCTGAAGGTGAATTTAAAAAGAGAATCAATACACATTCATTCACCAATTAAACATTAAAACACCAAACAGCCCTTTCGAAAATCATTTGGGTAATGAATGAAAAACGTCTGAATCCTCAAATAAATTGGAAAATTCTAGATTTCATGAACACCCCCCCCAATAGTTTCATGGATAGGTGCAAGTTATGTTTAGAAGAAAAAATCAGAATAATCATACTTATTATAAAACCCACGTTGTGTGTGTGTGTCTGTTCGTTTATATATTGGATCGGATTTCCTACATTTTTCAACCGATTTCAACAAAACTTCACAGGACTACGTAAAATTACCTTGCGGTGGTTCTGACAGCGCCAAAAATTGGAAAAACACAATTTTTTTTTGCACGAAATCAATTTAAAAACATGATTAAGAGGCATCACAGTCGCCAGAATGAAACGGGGACAACTCATATCGAGTTATACTTATTATAAAACCCAGGTTGTGTGTGTGTGTGTGTGTGTGTGTGTGTTCGTTTATATATGGGATCGGATTTCTTACATTTTTCAGCCGATTTCAACAAAACTTCAATTTTTGGGGAAGGTAGTGTTTCTTATTGTCTTGCACACTTTTTTCTTTATTTTGACTTTCAGAATGCTTTAAAAATTCCATTTACAAGAAAATTGTTTATAATAAAATTCTATTCAATCGGTAGACTCATAACGATTGAAAACAATGTTTTTGTTTGAGTTTGGGTTTGACCAATTCGTAAAAAAAAACAAAAAAAAACTAATTAAGACATGCGTGTCCGTCAGCCTTAAACAATAATTTTTGTCAATTTTATTTTTCAGTCTTTATGATGGTCGATGCTTGATCTATCTCATATTGTTACATCCCCGGGCAACGCCGGGCTCTGCTGCTAGTAAAATATAAAAATTAATGCAAATTATTAAATCAAAGGATAGAACGAATCACAAAATGTAGACATAAATAAAAAATTCCAAATTTCCATAAGAATACATGTGCAAATGAGTGGGGAGTGTGTGTGTGCGTATAGTGGCATATATGTATGGACATGTAAATGTACATATATGTATGTATTTGTGTATTTAGGATTTAATACTTTTTTCATGCACATTTTACTGAAAACAACAGACAAGGTGCTTTTATTTAGTTTTTTTTTATCCAATTTCTCATGCGATCTAATAATTTTTTCCTTTCCAGATGATAAATTATATAAAAACTGTCTGAATGTTCTTTTTATCCGAGCGCTTTCGGCTATACATTTAGCCATTTTCAAGGATTTTAAACGCTATAATAATGGAAGCCTTATTAATAAAAACAAACAAACCAACACTTAATAATATTAATTTGGAACATGTACATAATATCTTGACCGTGTTTTGAAAAATGAAAACATTTTATAAATCATACATACAACAAATTAATTCTAATACTGATTTTAACAGTTCTATAAATATAATCATTGAAAGGATTCAGGTTGGCATGTAACAGCACGATGGTCGAGTGGTTAAGGCGTTGGACTTAAGTTCCAATGGACGAATATCCGCGTGGGTTCGAACCCCACTCGTGCTAGGGAAAATAATTTTACTAAAAAGACATTTTTTTTCGCGGCAGAGACTTTCTTACGGCTTTTATTTATTTACTTTATTTTTATCTTTTTAATTTAATTTATTTTTTTTCATGCGCAAGTTTGATGTCGAATTCTCTCACGTACATCCACATTATCACAAGAACGATGTAGCCGTGTGAACCATGGAGTCGTACCCAATCCGAAAATAGCAAAAGACGGTGATGATGATGGTCAGAAAGATGAGGGTGAATTTGTACGAATAAAAAAGCTTCACGGTAAACGGAGTTGACGTATTCTGCTTTCAGATAGCAATACTTGCGTTTAAGATTAACAAACGCTGAACGCTGACATTACAGTTGGTACGCCGATCAGCGTAGACACAAGCACAATTTCTTTCTATGTTTTAGCGACACGTACGGTAGCACGATTGTCGTGTCTTTATGTCGTTGGACATTACATTCCAGTGTACCAATATTCGCGTTTGTTCGAACCCTACTCTTGCTGTGGAGGTACCTATATATATATATATATATATATATATATATATATATATATAGTACAGGTACTAAAAACTTCAACAACAAAAAAAACTCTCAATAAGATATTGAATAGAAAATCAGTCAAAATAAGCTATTCCTACACTGATAACATGTAGCGATATTCTAAGCCCGGATTAGATGAGGCACAAGGCCAAAAGTAAGTGGCACCCGGTGAGGATCGAACTCACTCCTCAGTCATAATTGATCAAGCAAGGCAAGCTTTCTACCCATTACACCACGTCAAGGTGTCCTCCGCGCTGATAACATGTACCAAATTATTAATTGCCATAACAATTACATTTTAAGTCAATTCCATGGGATAACACCTAAATCTAACATGGAAACCCCCTGTAATTGTAAAATTAAGGAAAACTGCCCATTAGAGAGCAAGTACAGATCGACTAGTGTAGTATACCAGGCAACCATTACCCCTAAAGAAAAGTGTTAAACCATAATATTTACATTGGCATTTCTACAGGAGAATTTAAAAAGAGAATCAATACACATAGACATTCATTCACAAATCCAACATTAAAACACCAAACAGCCCTTTCGGAAAAATTTTGGGAAATGAATGAAAAATGTCTGAATCCTCAAATAAATTGGAAAATTCTAGATTTCGCGAACACGCCCAATAGTTTCAGGGATATGTGCAAGTTACGTTTAGGAGAAAAAATCAGAATAATAAAATATAAAAATCAATGCAAATTATTAAATCAAAGGAGAGAACTAATCACAAAATGTAGACATAAAAAAAACTTCCAAATTTCCATAAGAATACATGTCCAAATGCGTGGGGATTGTATGTGTGCGTATAGTGGCATATATGTATGGACATGTAAATGTACATATATGTATGCATGTGTGTATTTAGGCTTCAATGCTTTTTTCATGAACATTTCACTGAAAACGACAGACAAGGTGCTTTTATTTAGTTTTTTTTTTTATCCAATTTCTCATGCGATCTAACAATTCTTTTTCCTTTCCAGATGATAAATTATATAAAAACTGTCCGAATGTTCTTTTTATCCGAGCGGTTTCGGCTATACATTTAGCCATTTTCAAGGATTAAAAGACTAAAAATAATGGAAGCCTTATTAATAAAAACAAACAAACCAACACTTAATAATATTAATTTGGAACATGTACATAATATCTTGACCGTGTTTTGAAAAATGAAAACATTTTATAAATCATATATACAACAAATTAATTCTAATACTGATTTTAACAGTTCTATAAATATAATCCTTGAAAAGAAACGGAGCAGAGTGTAACAGCACGATGGCCGAGTGGTTAAGGCGTTGGACTTAAGTTCCAATGGACGAATGTCCGCGTGGGTTCGAACCCCACTCGTGCTAGGATATAACAATTTTAACAAGACTTTTTTTTTCGCGACAGAGACTTAAAGTCTCTTACGGCTTTTATTTATTTACTTTAGTTTTATCTTTTTAATTTAATTTATTTTTTTTCATGCGCAATTTTCATGTCGAATTTGAGGAAGTATCTAAGGGACTATATTCTTGACCCACAGACGAAATGTCATATTGCATTACCAACAGATGGGTGGGTTTAAAGAACAACTGATCAGATCAGTCCGAGCGCATATATTGACGAAGCTGATGGCCACCGGATGCAGATTCTCGTCTCTCACGTTCATCAGAATCATCACGAGAATGATGCAGATGCTGGGCAAAAAACTCGTTCAGAACGAAAGCATTGTCATAAACATCTTCTTTACACTTGGCTTCATTTTCGGCTGAACGGATGCCGACCGTACGCTCTTTCGTTTTTCCCTCAAATCGCCGGCAATGGAGTCGTACCAGATCCAAAAGTAACAAAGACCGTGATGATGATGATGGTCAATAAGATGACGGTTGATTTGTTGGAATAAAAATGTTCCACTGTAAACAGATTTGATGTATTCTGCTTTCAGATAACAGTACTTGTTTTGAAGACTAACAAACGCCGTATGCTGAGATCATATTTGGTACGCCTATCAGCGTCGACGCAGGCACAGGCTCGTTTCTTTCTTTCAGCGCTGTGTCTTGTAACATAATTGTTGTGTGTTTATATTGTTGGACACAACATCCTCTGAACGAATGTTCGCGTGGGTTCGAACACTACCCATGCTTGCATACTTCATTTTCCTTCAGGGATTGTGGTTGTTATTTTTTTTACATCTAAAACTAAAACAACATTACGATACGGGAATATTGTATACTTTCTCCGTAATCTAAAGTTTTATTGAATGTCAGGTATAGAATGTCATACTGTATATATTTGGTTGAAAAGCGTTTCGCATCGCATTCCAAAAACTGTTCAACCCGCGTCAAGTTAGATTTGGTCGAGATCAAATCAAGCAAATAAAATGCGCGCATTATCACGACCAAACATGCGCAAGTGAGATATTTGCGTGGTCGTCTATAACGACTTTTACGAGCGCGTCAATAACGGCAAACGCGTTCAGGAAACTTTCATTGCAGATAGATTTGACTTGAAGGAACGATTAATTAGCTTATCTTCATGCCCTGCCTGGTGGCAAACGCTGCTGGTGACACCAGGAATGGCAGTCCCGCCATAGCCACTGAAACCGTGATATCAGCCCTGGTCGGCGGCTGATGAAGACAGGGTATCGCACGTGCTAACATACGTTGTATGTTAAAAAAAATACAATTTAATTAATTGTATTAATTGTATTTGATTTTACCTATATCTTCCAGCTTCTACTTTAAATTGACACCTTCTTTTTTCATTCATTCAATATATGGAAAAAAAGAAAAAGTAAAAAAATAGATGGCTTCCCTACACGACATTATTAGAAAATAAGAGCCACAACTATCGTAAATTTAAAGCTAAAGTACCTGAAATTCAATAAAACTTTAGATTACGGGGAACGTTTTCTTAATGTTTTATGTATACTGTGTCGTTAAAAATTATCTAACAAAGGCTCTCACGTTATATTCCTCAAATAGATTTTACAGATATATATACCATAGAAAAACATTAAATAAACTTCTTTCTGCCATTCAAGCTGTCAACCCGACCACATGTAAAATCAACAAATATCGCCGGGTTAAAAATGCATTTCTGCGACTTTTTAAACTTAAATAAGTAATATTTGTTTCAAATCAGATTTATAACAGAAAGATTGTATAATATTTAATTTTATTATTTTAACCTTATATCATCCCAGTGAAACTTACGAGAATCATCAAGAATGAAGCAATACGCTCGTCACTCGCATTTTTCAGCACGATGGCCGAGTGGTTAAGTCTTGGACTTAAGTTCTAATGGACGTATGGTGCTCGCCATACTCTTTTTTTTTTTTTTTGCAGAATGGTGGTAGTAATTTTTTCACGTACAGAAAGTAAAAATATAAAACAACATGTAATATTGCATAATATTCACTTTTCTTATTTGAAACTATATTTTCCTGCTTAAAATGATACACTCGTATTTTTCATATATTGTCACCATCTTGCATAAATTCATCATTTTCTTGATTCCAGATTAAAATTATGATTTTTAAAAAATATATATCTGCGTGCAGGGCCGGTGCAAATGTTTCGTGCAAGGGGCACGAAACATTTGCCAAAATCTATGATTACCCACCCCATCTATGATCCACTCCCAATAATTCTACAGCATCGCAATTTTTAACATCCACTTCAGATTTTAGTTGGCAACACGTAGGAGATCGGTGTTGAAACACGATGGCCGAGTGGTTAAGTCATTGGACTTAAGTTCCAATCGACGATTGTCCGCGTGGTTCGAGCCCCGCTAGGACTGGAAAATCTTTTTCTAAAAAAAAATTTTTTTTTTCCGCAACGGTGACTTAAAGGTTGTATACCATTTCATTGACATTTTTCTAGCTTAGCTGTGACACAAAGCCGAAAGTATGGAACATCCAGTGAGAATCGAACTCACTACTCAGTCGAAATTGTTTTAACAAGACGAGCTTGCTAACCATTACACCACATCGAGGTGCCCAACTAGCTCATTTTTATTATTTTAACCTTATATCATCCTGGTGAAACTTACGAGCAGCATCAAGAATGAAGTAATACGCGCGTCGCTTGCATTTATTAGCACGATGGCCGAGTGGTTAAGTCGTTAGACTAAAGTTTCAATGGACATATGTACGCTCGGGTTCGAACACTTCTCATGCTAACTGTCCTTCTTTTTCTTTGCAGAATGGTGCTTGTAATTTTTTTCTCGTACAGAAAGTAAAAATATAATAAACATGTTATACTGCATACTATTTAATTTTATTATTTTAAACTATATGCTCCTGCTTAAACCTATACACTCGTTTTTTCCATGTATTGTCATCATCTTGCATAAATTTCCTATTTTTTTGATTCCTGATTAAAATTTTGATTTCTTTTCAAATATATCTGCGTGCAGAGCCGGTGCAAATGTTTCGTGCCCCTTTCCCCAAATCTATGAGACCCCACCCCATCTATGATCCACCCCCAGTAATTCTACTCCATCGCAATTTTTAACAAGCACTTGAGATTTCACTTGGTAAAACGTTGAATAATTTTAACACATTCAACATTATAGATAAAAAATATCAAATATTGCGTAATTTGCTTTTTAAGCCCCGCGCGAAGTATCTAATAAAAAATTCCCGAATAGTTATATTTAGGTGTAAATGTAAAGGATTAATTCAATAAAAACAAAGAAATTTTGATAAAATCTACCGTTTTGGAGTTATCAACAATTAAAGTTCGAAATCATTCGCGACGGGGCAGCCATTACCGGCGTTGTTAGCATATATTTGCTGCGGAATTAACATCCACTTGTCTTGATGATTGCGCAAACAATGAGTCCTTACTTTCGCAGTAATAGAGACAAGTTAGAGCAGTAAAAAGGACGTTAAGAAAGTAATCTTCCGCGAAAATCTAATCAGCAACGAATGTATGCAAACGACACAGTAATGGCTGCCGTACCGTAACGCGAATGAGTCCGAAATTTTTATTGTCGATAACTCCAAAACGGTAGATTTTATCAAAATTTCTCTGTTATTTTCGAATTAAGCTTGTACATTTACACATAAATTTACCTATTCAGGAAATTTTTATTAGATACTAGCAGTAGAGCCCGTCGTTGCCCGGGGATGTAACAGTAAGAGATAGATCAAGTATCGACCATCATAAAGACTGAAAAATAAAATTGACAAAGATTATTGTTTAAGGTTGACGGACACGCATGTCTTAATTTGTTTTTTTTTGTTTTTTATATTTATTTTTATTTTTTTACGAATTAGTCAAACCCAAACTCAAACAAAAACATTGTTTTCAATCGTTATGAGTCTACCGATTGAATAGAATTTTATTATAGAAATTGTAAATGGAATTTTTAAAGCATTCTGAATGTAAAAATAAAGAAAAACGTGTGCAAGACAATAAGAAACACTACCTGCCAAAAAAAAAATTGAAGTTTTGTTGAAATCGGTTTAAAAATGTAGGAACGCACGATCCCATATATAAACGAACACACACACACACGCACGCACACACACACACACACACACACACACACACACACACACACACGCACACACGCACCACGCACGCAACCAACCAACCAACCAACCACGCACGCACGGGTTTTATAATCGATATTAATAAGTATAACTCATACGCACGCACGAGTTGTCTCCCTTTCATTAATGCCTCTTAATCGTGTTTTCAAATTGATTTCGTGCAAACAATTGTGTTTTCCCAATTTTTGGCACTGTCAGAACCACCACAAAGCAAATTTACGTAGTCCACGCACGCACGCATGACGCACGCACGCACGCACGCACGCAAAAAAGTTTGAAAAAAAAATTGAAAATATATAAACGCACACACACACACACACACACACACACACACACACACACACACACACACACACACACACACACACACACACACACACACACACACACACACACACACACACACACACACACACACACACACACACACACACACACACACACACACACACACACACACACACACACACACACACACACACACACACACACACACACACACACACACACACACACACACACACACACACACACACACACACACACACACACACACACACACACACACACACACACACACACACACACACACACACACACACACACACACACACACACACACACACACACACACACACACACACACACACACACACACACACACACACACACACACACACACACACACACACACACACACACACACACACACACACACACACACACACACACACACACACACACACCACACACACACACACACACACACACACACACACACACACACACACACACACACACACACACACACACACACACAACACACACAACACACACACATACACACACACACACAACACACACACACACACACACACACACACACACACACACACACACACAACACACACACACACACACACACACACACACACACACACACACACACACACACACACACACACACACACACACACACACACACACACACACACACACACACACACACACACACACACACACACACACACACACACACACACACACACACACACACACACACACACACACACACACACACACACACACACACACACACACACATCCAATATATCAAACGTACACACACATACACACACACACACACACACACACACACACAACACACACACACACACACACACACACACACACACACACACACACACACACACACACACACACACACACACACACACACACACAACACACACACACACACACACACATCTGCGTTTTATAATAAGTAAGAGTTGCGCGGGGCTTAAAAAGCAAATTAGCTTAATTATTATATAAAGTTTCTTTTTAAACTTAGGATGAGCAAAACAAATTCGCAGATTTGGACGAAAAACAAAAACTCCAGAATGACGTCAAATTTCGAAAAATTGATAGTGATTGACATTGCATTTAAAAGTTTTGAAGATTAAAGTAAGATGGAAAGCATAAAACCAGAAGGGAGTTTCACAAGTGAAAAATGTAAGAAAAGAAACTGTTAACGTAGAATTTATAGTTACATCTCTTGCCAATTTAACTATAAACTGATAAGATCTCAATGTCAGTCTAGTACTGGGCTTAAATTCAAAATTCTAGGGAACATTGCGAAGAGCGATATTTATTCTGTTTTCTACAGAAATGTGGCACAAGGCCGAAAAGGGGATTGGGGAAATGACGGTCTTCTTCTGTCTTAACTATAACTTAGCTAGCCGCAAACACTGGCCCAATCATACGAACAATATTCCTTACACCAAAACAACACATTCATACGTATTTTTCTTACTACAACCACCATAATACCCCTTTGTCTCTATGAAAATACTAACTAGTCCCCATATTTACAATTCATTGTCTGTGCGGGGAGGGGAATAAAACAACAATTCTAAAAAATCTAGCCCCAATGTGTATTTACAATATGAATACAAAAAAAACTAAAAAAAACTAAAGAAAATAAGATTAATAATAAACCCCCCCACAATTACTAAATGTGACAGAGACATCGGTTCACTGGGCGAAATCAATGCAGGACTATAATATTATAAAAACATTCATTCATCTCAAGCACTCACGCTGACACGCACTCATTCAAAGACAACAACAAATACGAAAAATACCACTCACGCGAAACGAAAGGCGCCCCGCATCCACCAGCGAACCGACATCACTGACCCCCTAACGAGGGAGGGGATGGGGAATTAAACTTAAAGAAAAATAGGGATAGAAATAAAAGGGGCCAATGAGCATACATACCCGAGCTAAGTTAACTGAAAAAGGAAACTAAAGCATCAAAAAAGGAAACCTAAGCTAGCCTAGTTTCGGGATGGGTTGCACAAGTTCAACCCAGGTAGAGTAATATCCTGATGCCTAACCGGCATCAAAGTGCCACTCAAGGTCAGCCCCTTTCACACGACACAAACGCGAAGAGCTCATTTAAACAATTACCATGAAAGTATTTATAGAAAAGACACAGGGTGGCAACCTTATGATGGTGGGAAAGGGACTGAAGCCGAGCTTCCAGATCAGGACCAATAATATTGCTGATTCTTCTTTGGAATATATATATATATATATATATATATATATATATATATATATATGTGTGTGTGTGTGTGTATATATATATATATATATATATATATATTTGTGTGCATTTAGGCAGCAATCCTTCTTTCATGTACGCTTCATTGAATTATGACAGACAAGGTGCTCTGATTTCAGTTTTTTATACAATTTCTTATGTGATCATATATATTTTTTTTCTTTTCAGAGGATAAATTATATAAAAACTGTCCAGTTGCTCGTTCATTCCGAGTGCTTTCAGCTATAAATTTAGCTATTTTCAAGGTTGAAACATTATATAAATACATACATACAACAATCTGTTTCTGGTTTAACAGTTAATACATTTCAATGTCTGTGTTTGTGTGTATATATGTTAGGAAACAGACTTAGCTTGAAAATCTTTTAATAGTCATTTGTGCTTCGTTTAAGTTGTAACGTATGTAGACGTAAGTGTAAAAAGCAAATATTGATAAGATAATGAGGGTCACGAAACGCTGCCCGGGACACCAATCAGGCCCAGTGACGAGATTCGGGGGGTAAATCGCGCCTGATTGGTCTGAGTGAATCTTTCACAGGCCCAAACTATAATTTTATAAATCAATAATTAAGCTGATGCCGTAAGCACTTTATAAGCACGATGGCCGAGTGGTTAAGGCGTTGGACTTAAGTTCCAATGGACGAATGTCCGCGTGGGTTCGAACCCCACTCGTGCTAGTATTCTTAAAAACATTTTTTTTTTGTAAATGAAAGTAAAACTCTCTTGAGGCATTTATTTATTTATTTTATTTATGCTTTTTTATTTTAATTCAATAAATTTTTTTAATAAAAAAAAATCAACTTTGCATTTCTGATATAGAATTTGAGGAAGTCTCCGATACCAACCAGTTAGAGACAATATTCTTGACTCGCAGTCGGAATGTCATGTTGCAATACCAACAAATGAGCGGGTTTAAAGAACAACTGATCAGATAAGTCCTTCGGCATATGTTGACAAAACTTATGGCCACTGGATGCAGATTCCTGACTCTCAGGTTCATCGACATCATTACGAGAATGATGCAGATGCTGGGTAAAAAGCTTGTAATGAACAAAAGCGTTATCATAAACATTTTCTTTACGCTTGGCTTGATTTTCGGCTGAACGGATGCCGACCGTACGCTCTTTCGTTTTTCTCTCAGATCGCCGGCACCGGTGGTAACCTTGGAGCCGTACCAGATCCGAAAATAGCAAAAGACGGTGATGATGATGGTCAGCAAGATGACGGCCGATTTGTACGAATAAAAAACTTCACTGTAAACGGAGTTGACGTATTCTGCTTTCAGATAGCAATACTTGCGTTGAAGATTAACAAACGCCGAGCGCCGAGTTCGGGCACCAGCCATGATTATTGTTGGTATGCACGTGAGCGTAGATACGGCCGCCAGTAAGATGGTAATGATTTTGACCTGCGTCACGCTCAAGTGATTGGACAAGGGTCGGCATATCCGGAGATAGCGGTCTATAGCTATAGCCACTAGAGTCAGACCGGAAGCTATGATTGTGCTCGAATAGGTCAAATGTAGGATTTTACAGGTGAGGTTTGAGACGAAGTGATACGGTAACATGTCATGGAGAACCATCAGAGGCATTGCCACGCTGCAAGTGACAATGTCCAGTACAGCCAAACTGACCACAAACGAATTCATTGGAGTAGCTTTGAGGCGGAAATGATATATGTAAATGACCACACTGTTACCGAATAAGCCGACAACTAAATTCAGAATTAAGAATGTTATCGAAGGTAAATTATAAACGGCCCATACGCCATTGGAATTTTCAGTGACGTGACTGATGTCTTCGAGGCTTACGTTTCTGTCGTCTGGTGTTGATTCGAATCCAGCAAAAGCCACAGTAGTTAGCTGAGAAGAGGACAATATGGTTTCGGTTATAGAGTCATTCAAATCCAGATGGATCTCTTCCGTTGTAAAGATATCCATCACCTGGAAAAAATAAGAATAATTTTTAATGGCATGCCTTGTCAGAGAGTTTTTTGCCTTTTCTATAATGAATTAGGTACAATAGTTCAAATATTTAAATCTCCTAGACAGGTTACTTGCATTATTTACATTATTCGGACTGTTATCCACATCATTATTGTCATATTCACAACGTTTCGGCCTCTATATCTCTGAGATGAGGTATTGTGAAATAATGCAAGTAATCACAACACCTCATCTCAGAGATATAGAGGCCGAAAAGTTGTGAATATGGCAATGAAGATGAAGATAACAGTCCGAATGATGTAAATAATGCAAGTAATCATAATACCTCATCTCAGAGATATAGAGGCCGAAAAGATTGTGAATATGGCAATGAAGATGAGGATAACAGTCGGAATAATGTAAATAATGCAAGTAATCATGATACCTCATCTGAGAGATATAGAGGCCGTAACGTTCTTTGCCTTTATTTTGTATTTAGAAATAAACAATTCTGCAATATAACTATCTATGTATCTGTCTGTCGGTCTCAGTTTATTCAGTATCTATCTATCTATCTATCTATCTATCTATCTATCTATCTATCTATCTATCTATCTATCTATCTATCTATAACGGTGTGCATGTATACTATCCAAACATGTTTCTGAATTTCTCACTTCACTAAATTATTGTTTATAAAAATATAATCAACATGCTGGTGTTAAGGAGCACGATGACCGAGTGGTTAAGGCGTTTGACTTAAGTTCCAATGGACGTATGTCCGCGTGGGTTCGAACCCCACTCGTGCTAATGAAGTAATGTTTTATTTTTTTTTTTTCTATAAATCGATCAAAACACTGTTACGAAATATTAAGACATTTTCTGGAGTTATTGGAAGATGTCATTTGTCTTTTTTTTAGGAAAAAAAAATCTTCTGCAATATTTGTATCTATCTATCTATCTATCTATCTATCTATAACGATGTGCATGTATACTATCCAAACATTTCTTTGAATTTCTCACTTCACGAAATTATTGTTTATGAAAATATAAACGACACGACCTATGACGTTTTCAAGTAGCACGATGGCCGAGTTGTTAAGGCGTTGGACTTAAGTTCCAATGGGCATATGTCCGCGTGGGTTCGAGCCCCACTCGTGCTAACAATGGAATCAATTTTTTTTTTTATTAGATCAAAACACTGTTACCAAAGAATACTATGACATTTTCTGAAATTATTTGAAGATGTCATTTGTCTTTATTTTGTTTTTAGGGAAAAAAAAGTTCTGTAATCTATCTATCTATCTATCTATCTATCTATAACGATGTGTGTGTATACTATCCAAACATTCATTTTAATTTTTCATCTGACAAAATTATTTTTATAAACAGAAAGACGTTTCAGTACCGAATGGTTTCCACCGGTTTAAGGGGTTTGTCTTCCAATGGGTGTAGATCCGCGTGTTTCGAACTCCGCTCCTGTTAACAGAGAGACCCCCCCGCCCGCTTTATATAACAAACAGGTAGGTTTCAAACACGATCCTCGGAATTTAGAGGAAAAACCTTCCATTTGTTTGGACGGTCGCTAGTAGTAAACAATGTCCAACTTAAGCAAGAGTCCATCCCATCGTCTGCCCATCTCTGAAAGCCTAACTTAAATTTCTGATAATTTTCAAAGAAAGATAAGGGACATCACGTTATTTGAAATTCTTTAAACATTCTTTACCGATATTAATTTTTAACTCCTGTTTCTTTCATTCCTGCAAAGAAGGCAAATGACTTCCATTGTCAACCATTAACAATTGGGAACTTCTTATTTAAAATTTTGTAATTGTTTCCAATTACAATTTACAGCCAGCAGGTGATTTTTTTTTAGTCAAATTTTCTAAGTGGCACCCCCTTTGACTGAAGCCAAAATAAAAGAGGGGAGGAGGTTTTTTGGAGATCATGTGACAACAAAACGTGGAAAAGAGTAGATCCAGGTCCTAGTCTATATCCACACTCATGCGTAAGATCGGAGTCTGTCTTTAGCTGGTAACGGTCTTCTGTCGCGTGCTTCTGTTAACGGCTATTCGTGTTGTCATCCACACGTTTAATTTAATTTAATTGTGCTCTGATCTAAATTTAAATTTAGGTTCAAATTTAACTCTCTCTCTCTCTCTCTCTCTCTCTCTCTATATATATATATATATATATATATATATATATATATAATAAAAAGGCTTAAACACTAATATTCCATGGTCATAATTTATTCCATTGGAATCGTAAATACGATCCAATTCATCAGACCTACAAATTCAAAAAGAAAACAGAAAAAACAACTCCGGGAATAAAAACAGAATTTAGAGAGAGTGTAAGTATGACGGTGTGGGACGAATGTTAGAGCTAAAGAGAGGGGGTAACAGACGAGAGAAGGTGGGAGATTAAACCTTAACAGAGAGAATTTTAGGAGAGGTGAGTGGAATGGGGTTTAAGTAAGAGAAATATGAATGTCGTCGGATGTCTAATGCATAAAGATACATTTCGTAGTGACACACACACCATAGACGATCTAATGTTGAAGATCAGAATAAGAGGGAGGGAGAGGAAAGGAAAGAAGAGGTGGGAGAGAGAGATGGGGCGAAGGAAAGTAAAATTGAAGGACATTTACTGAAAGGGCTGCTGTGTAATTGAGAAAATTTGACAAAATTAATATCGACTACAGGTTACAAATCAAATATAAACATATAAAAAATAAATATAATGATTATCTAATCATGAAGGACCTATATTTTTATGTTCAAATTAAAAAAATATATATATATGTGTATGCACCTATGTGTATATATATTTATATATTTACATATGTATGTGCATATTTACCACTAATATTATCTCTCTCTCTCTCTCTCTCTCTCTATATATATATATATATATATATATATATATATATATATATATATAGATAAACCTAGTGATCCAGACAAACCTACCTAGGTTTCACGTAAACGGATCCCTGACGATCCGCTTAGGTAAAACCAGGTAGGTTTGTCAACTCACTAGGTTTATCTAAGGCCTGCTCTACGGTTGTATTGAGCTCTTTTAGTTAGTTGTTTACTCGTATCGTTTTTTTTTTTCTTTGGGCTTTAAACCTGTATCTGTGCGATTTTTTTCAATAGACTTTCATGTTTTGTAATTTTTTCCTTCGAGATTCATTTGATTATTGGCAAATCAAGAATTCGAAGGTTTTTCGAAAAGAGTATTACCTATATATATATATATATATATATATATATATATATATATATATATATATATATATATAACCAAGTATAGGATTGGTGTGCACGGAATAAATTCAATAACCAAAAAACACTATTCTTAAAAGAGTGCTCAATACAGAGTAGAGCAAAAATAATTTATTCAAACATTATAACATAAAAATGTTATAAAATCACTACAAAAATAGCCATTTTGTTTCAACACTTCTGGTGTCTTATTAAGTGAATGTAAAATACAGACTCTTTATTCTACATTCAACTGCATATTTATGTTATAATTTTCGAATCTATCTATCTATCTATCTATCTATCTATCTATCTATATATATATATATATATATATATATATATATATAAATGTGAACATTGAAGTCAGGCAGATAGCGTCTAGCATGAAACAACCTGTCGCCTCTGAGTCTTGACTCCAATGTTCACTTTTATATTTATATAGCAATGAAGATGAGGATAACAGTCCGAATAATGTAAATAATGCAAGTAATGATAATACCACATCTCAAAGATATAGAGGCCGAAGCGTTGTGATTATGGCAATGAAGATGAGGATAACAGTCCGAATAATGTAAATAATGCAAGTAATAATAATACCTCATCTCAGAGATATAGAGGCCGAAACGTTGTGAATATGGCAATGAAGATGAGGATAACAGTCCGAATAATGTAAATAATGCAAGTAATAATAATACCTCATCTCAGAGATATAGAGGCCAAAACGTTGTGAATATGGCAATGAAGATGAGGATAACAGTCCGAATAATGTAAATAATGCAAGTAATAATAATACCTCATCTCAGAGATATAGAGGCCAAAACGTTGTGAATATGGCAATGAAGATGAGGATAACAGTCCGGATAATGTAAATAATGTAAGTAAACATAATACCTTAACTAAGAGGTCTAGAGTCCGAAACGAATATCTCTGATATTGAGCACTTTATTCTATAAATATAGCACACCTTAAAACTATATTTTCACACACACACACACACACACACACACACACATATATATATATATATATATATATATATATATATATATATATATATATACCGAACGCCGACAGAACGACTCAGAGATTCATGTATCATTCAATTATCAGGTATAACAGAACTGGTTAGAATTTTTGGGTCTCGCGGTGAAATTACTATTATTAAATTTTTACTATTATTAAGTATTTAATTGTGCTATGATCTAAATTTAAGTTCAAATTTACCTCTAAAATTAAAAATTAAAATTGAATTAAAAATTTAATAATAGTAATAATTTATCCAGCTAACACCACGCAACCGAGGAATTTTAACCAGATAACGACTTAATAACTCAGTTATTTTGCATTGTTTATTTAAAACAAAGCACACACACACACACACACACACACACACACACACACACACACACACACACACACACAGACAGACACAGAGAGAGAGAGAGAGAGAGAGAGAGAAGGTAATGAGTTTTGTTGTTAACCGTTAAAAATTTTAAACTTCTTATTTAAAACCTTGTAATTGCTTCCAATTAAAATTTACAACCTGCAGGTCACATTTTCTAAGCGGCACCCACTTTGACTGAAGCGGAAGTAAAAGGAGCGGATGAGGGCTTTTGGAGATCAAGTGACAACACAACCTGAAATAGGGTATATCCAGGTACTAGTCAATATCAATAGTCATTGGAGTAAGTTCTGTCCTGTCCTTGGCAGGCAACGGATTTCTGTTCGTGGTTCCAAATAACGCCCATTTGTATTGCCATCCACACGTTAGGATGAGTTGATAAGTAGAAGAATTGTCAGGGATAAGAGCTATTGTTGTTGTTCTAGATATCCTAGTATCCCCTGTGATTAACCCCTGGAGAAAGTGGACACGGTTGGAATTTGAACTCGACAGGACAATATAATTTACAAAGCTGATGACCGCTACATTACGTATAGACTCGTTAAAATTCCAGTTCATATTGATAAAGGGAGGTAACTTTAGGTAGCTAATTTCATAATGTCAGCGAAATATTGCTGTCACCTCCTGATCCAAGGGAGGTTACTCTTAACGGTTTTGTATATATATTTATATTAAATTTATTTTTTTGAATTACAGTGGATCATCGACCTACGAATTTAATCCGTTCCAGGAGTGGATTCGTAACTGGAAATTTCGTATGTCGAATCAATTTTCCCCAGTTAAAATAAGAGAAATTAAATTAATTCGTTCCAAGAATATTGATATAAAAATCAATAATAATAGTATTTTATGCAAAATTAAAGTAATATTTTAAAGATTATACACGATTAATGTAAAAAATATATCAAAGCGATTTAAGAAATTTAGGATTGAAGTGAACCTTCTAAAATCCTCTTAGGGTTTTGAAACAAGGCAGCTTTATCCTTTTAATTCTCCTAAGGACTTTATCCCCTGTGCTATGTATCCTTGAGGACACATGGCACAATGGATAAAGGCGTTGGTTAGATCCAGTAACAGGACCCAAAGAGTGTGAGTTCAATATCCGGTTAAGGCAGTGGATAACTTTCAGAGGGAAATTAACAGGAGATAACTGACATCCATTAAACATGGCACGTGGAACTAGAACAGTCTACCCCGGTGAGCGCAATAAAGGGTCCAGTTCGACATTCCAACCACCTGAAGAAGGTCGGAGCGTACAATGGCCAAAACGTTGTAATAAATATGGCGACAAAGATGAGGACAATAGTCCGAATAATGTAAATAGTGTACATAATACCTCATCTCAGAAATATAGACAGATACTGAAGGGTTGAAACGTTGTAATAAATATGGTGACAAAAATGAAGACAATATTCCGAATAATGTAAATAGTGTACGTAATACCTCATCTCAGAAATATAGACAGATACTGATCGGCCGTAACATTGTAATAAATATGGCGAGAAAGATGAGGACAATATTCCGAATAATGTAAATAGTATATGTAATACCTCATCTCAGAAATATAGACAGATACTGATCGGCCGAAACGTTGTAATAAATATGGCGACAAAGATGAGGACAATAGTCCAAATAATGTAAGCAACAAA